TTAAGCTGATTCTCATCATTGCTTCCAATGTAGTAGGTAAAATAGGCAGTCATAAAATTTCAAGATAGAGGCATTAGTTTGTCTTTGTACTGTAAAGGTTCAATAACTTATATTGATACTATGTGCAGTATATGACTGTTATTTCTTGTGACTTTGTAGCAGTCCATTAAATGAAATAAAAGGAAAGGCCGGTTAGATAAGAGGTTTATGTGCCACAATATTAATGCTTAAAACTGCTGATACTTGTGTATATTGAGTTAAAGAAGCCTCTTCTTCAGTATGACTACCTGTTGGGAAATATAACACAATGCCAACAGTACCAAATTTAAAATTAAGTAAGAATATAACAGATAACCCTTTTATTGTAAAAAGATCATCTAACTAATCATAACAGAAGGTCTACTATAGAAGAAACTATTTTGATGCTTATTCAAAGTTATAGATTAAATGATTGTAGTAATGCTGTAGTTGTTTGTTAGGTCTTCAGCTTGGATTTAGTGAACAAATCAGTTAGGTTTGTGGAACCGAAGTTTTTGAAGATATTATGCTACTGATTAAAAAATAGCTTTTCATCGGTTTACTTTGCTCTTAATTCTGCTTTAACTTTTGCTTTCAGGTCATTCAAGGTTGTTATCAACAACAAGTGTCATGGCAGAAGAGGAAATGGATAATAGCAGTAAGTGTGTTGTCTGAATGTTTATAAATATCTGTACACGAGGTGTTCAGTCTGGTGGCAGCTGTAAAATGCGTGGTTTGAGTATTCTTTTGGGATATCATATTGATGCTATGTTCTGTATTTGTCTCGTACATGGCTAGTTAGGTGCTTCCACAAAATCTGTGTAGCTCTGGAATTGTCTTTGTACCCTTACAGTATTAAAGACCCTGTCTCTCATTTTTTGTTATAAAATGATACAACTGACATCCATTTGAAGGATAATCACCTATTATATGCTTAATAACATGAAATTAATATTTGTGGAGCTATAAACTTAAAATACAAAAGGATGTAATTATGTCCTTATATTGACTTTCTAAATTATGTGATATATAATCTTAGTGAAAGAAAAGTTTTATAACATCTACAAAGAAACATAGTTGTTTAAAAGCAATTCATTCATATAAAACTTATTTAAATAGAATAGATAAAAACAGAATCCCTAAAGAAAGCCCAACACGGCAAAATTGAAAATGTTGCAGGCTCGGTTTGATTGAGCCCGTTCATGGACGGTACTGTCCATTTGTATAAATAAGTTCATTTGTATATAGAGGCTGCAGCAGGCAAATTACCAAGTGGGAGAGAAACTTAAATATATTAATAAAGCAGGTGGGAAGTGCCTTACTTCTTCCTGTGAATCTGTGTGGCTTTTGAATAGTCTGTTCGTCCCTACAGTATTTAATTAATCTTATTTGTGCATTTACTTTTGTTTCCAGGCCATTCAGAGTCTGTACCAACCACAAGTGTCATGGTTGAAGCAGAAATCGATAAAAGCAGTAAGGTTTTGTCTGAATAAATAAACTTTATAATCAGGAAAATAATGATGAAAACTACGGTTAAAAAAATTATGTACTCTTTTACCTTTTCCCCACACGACTGTTCACACTTAACACTGCTCACTGTAAATATACATGAACAGTCAAACTTTGTTTGCTTGAACTGGGAGCGTGTGATGGCGGTGTCATGAAAATATGTTTGACCTTACAACAGTTTGAGATATCGAATTACTTCTTTTAGACTTTTGTTTATTTTACATTAGGTTTAAAAGAGTTACTGTTAAATAGAGGTCTATGAAAAAAGATTGAGCATTATTGTTATAGGTGTAAAAAGTACAATATATCATACCTTTAACTGATATTCTATAAGAAGGTGAAGACTGTGCACAAGTAGATAATTAACTGTCTTTAATTTATGTAATCAGTTTGTGTTCAGTTGAAACAGTATGAAATACTTTATTTAATGTCCGATGGAATCCCTAATTAATTTTAAAAGTAAGATATTTTTGTACTTGAGTTTTGGAGTTGGAAAAGTATACACGACATAGAAATTTTGCTGGGATCAGAACTAAACCTCGACAATGGCAATGTATATGGTTTGGTTTTACACTCATTATCTTTTTACCTGTAATGTAACATAGATGTTACTTATGGGCAATTATACATTGAAGCCATCAGCTACTTTCTTGAAAAAATTACAATGAAAACTTTTTAAGTGATTTATGACCTTTTGCCTGATAAAACAGGATGCCTTAATGTTTATAATGTCCGTTGGACAGTAGATTTATAAGGAAAACATACCACCTATATTTTGTACACTTTTAGGTTCTTCAGAGGAGTTAAGTTACATGCATTGGCCAAGAGAAAGCAGTTCTCTTACTCATTTCCTTATACAAGGAGTTTGAAGAAGAGCTAGAGGACCCAAAGCAGCGGGAAAAGATATATGGAAAATAATAACTGATAAAATGACAGAAAATAGTTATAATTTCACACAAAATAAAGTAGAAAGTAAATGGAGAAGCTTATTGCAGTCTCACATAGATATCAGGGTAAACGATGCAAGTAGTGGTAAGAAACGTAAAACATTTCAATATTATGAGGAAATAGAAGAAATTGTTGCCAAGAGGCATGATATATACCCAAAGGTGAAAGCAGGCTCAGATATTCCATGTGAAATTAGCAAGTGTTACAGCACAAAGTCAACAGATTCGTCACCTGAATCCCTGCACTCTGAAGCATCAGAACTAAAATTTCCAGAACTCACTAAGTCTGTGGATAATGGTCCTACTGAAACAAGCAAAAATAAAGGCAAGGAAGCAAGAATAAGGAATGTGAAAAAGCAACAGGAAGAAGATACAGGTCAGCAAGTACTACAGTTTCTCAAAGAGAGTGAAAGCAGGCGAAGACAAGAGAGTGAAGCTAGAGAGAGAAAAAGGGATGAAAGGGCAAAGGAAAAAAATGAGATTTTTAAGCAGATATTAGATGTTCTCAGATGACATTCAGAAAATTATTGATACCATACAGGGTTTTTTAATACAGTGATTTACTTAAAAAATGTTTCCTGAAATCAACCAACTTTTGCAGGAATTAGTATTGAGTGATTCCCATTCAGAATTACTAAAATATTTAATGTTATGTAGAAACCAGGTTGTCATGGCAACCAAAAGGAAAAGCTATAAAATTCTTAATTATAATTAATATTTGGGTAACCCTCAACACAAATTGCTATATTTAAATCAATCAATGAAAAATAACCACAAGTGCTGGGGTTTAATTTCTCTGTACATTTATAAATGTAATTCATTAGTGAAACATGTTTTTGATTTTGAAAGTAATGTAGCACAAATGCTGTTTTGAAAGTCTATTTCACCTGTTGACTGTTGTGAGCAATATAGATATAGGGCAATTATGGGTTTTTAAAAGATAATGCATATTTTTGTGTCGCCTTGAAAAAGGCGACATATAGGGGTTACTACTTTTGTCGACGGTATCCCCTTAGACTTGTCCGGAGCATAACTCAGTCACTATAAGTCGGATTGACTCCAAACTTGGTATGCATGCTTCATTCAATGACTTGAAGTGCAGTGCACAAGAATCATGACTCTGCCCTTCTTATTTTTTAAGTCATTGCCCTTTGTTAATTTTCATACTTTATTTTTGTCCAGGCCATTTCTCCTAAACTATAAAAGCTATGGACTTGACACTTCATAGGATGATAGCTCTCATTGAGAAGAAGTACAGTGCACAAGAACTTGTACTCTGCACTTCATGATTTTTGAGTTATTGTCCTTTGTTAATTTTCATACTTATATGCAAGAGCAGTGTTTATAAATAACCTTTGTTTAAGAAGAAAATGCCTAGCTGACAGCTATACTGTTGACAAGGCGACACATCCGACTCGCAGAGTTCTAGTTGTTGTTGATTTTACTTCCAGGATGTGAACTGCTTTATCTGCCAAAAGTAATCTTGTGGAAAATCATATCATATGTCCAGGCTGTAGATGAAAATTGCAGGTTGTATGCTGTAAATAAAACTTTTAAAGATTTTGTGTATCTGAACAGATTGAACTTTAGAGTGCATGCAAACATTTTGAGGGCTAAGCCAGACCTACAGATAAGTATGCCTAGGTTGAAAAAACTTACAGTGCATGGATGTCCATTTGAATGGGATGATGGGATACTTGAATGTTTGAAGAAAGTAGATCTAAAAGAATTAAATCACAGTACTTTCAAGGATCATTTTGTAGACCTTATTGATGTATTGAGTTTCTAGAAACTAGAATACTTGCAATGTATTAACTGTGAGAACATATCAGTACAAGAACTGAAATGTACTCTTTCAAAATTGCCGTTTTTAAAATGCTGTGATATTGCTGTTGACATAAATGCATTAAACAGTATGGCTGAGTTTGCAGAATTGGCAAACAAATTAGTAGGGATTGTAAATATGTGTGTGAATACATTAGATAAGATCCCGTCAGACATGCTCTCTTTCACAAGAAGTTCCTACCGTGCCAGGTCAGAAGGTAGCTTACTTCAAATAGTGTATTGTTCATATCTCATTATTATAGCATGTTGAAAATTACACAGATACAAATAAGTTCTTTTTCAATGTGGTGATGAGTAAAGGGTAACAATCAAGTTCTTAAACATGCTTAATTGGTTAATGGTTGAGATTTCTTAAGAATGAGGTGTATTATTTTCGCCCAAAAAGTTTAATACATGCAGTTTTGATGTTAAGTTTTCCACTTGGGAGAATACTGTATAGCTTGTAATTTGAGAGGAAATGTATCATTTTTGCAAAATTTTGCAGATCCTATCCAACCACAAGATTTGAATGGCAATACCTGGCTAAGCCATGGAAGTTTCTTGATCTCATATATAGTAACATAGAAAAAAACATCAAAAACCTTAAGTAATTAACATTGTACTCTAAAATGTTGCCTATGTATTTTTTCTTTAAATTTGTTAAATTTTCACAAAGTTTATAATACTGTTTGTAAGTCAAACAGATTGAAACCAGACAAGATCCCAAGTTCCAAGCTGTTTGTAAATCAAAACCCGATAGTACCAGTTACTGCAACCTGATGGTACCTGTTACTGCAACTATAAAATAACATTTCAAAGAAAATTCCGTGCAATAGTGATTCGTTTCAGAGCTGCAAATTCTTGATCATGGTCATCAAAGTTAAGTCTATTAGGCATATCAGGCACTTGGTCCTCTTGATCTGACAATTGAATTTCAAATTCATCATCATTAACAAGACACATATTGTGTAACACACAAGATGTAATAATAGTATTAACTATAGTTTTTATGTCTCTTTGATAGATGTTTTGTAATCTTGTAAATCTTCCATTTAGCAAACCAAATGCACGCTCAACTTTGCTGCGGATACTAGAATGGACAGTATTATAAGTTTTCTGGGCTTCTGTCAGATGGCCATTGTCCCGAAAGGGCGTTAATAGCCAGGGCAGGTTTGGATAGCCTGAATTTCCTAAAATGTGTCCTTCTCTGCACTTACTACGTCCAGTTTCATACAGAGGGGATTCTTTCAAAACTCGCGCATCATACACTTTTCCAGGAAATCCTGCAAAAACATGCACAAATCTCATATCTTCCCTGACAACAGCTTGCAAAACTACAGAATAAAAAATTTTCCGGTTATAATAGTCTATGCCCCTCACTGCAGGTCTGTGGATTTTAATGTGTGTTGCATCAATCATACCTACAACACCTGGGAAACCTTTCAAATCATTGTACATGGCCTCAATTTCATCCATTTCATCATCAGAAGGCCAGACAATCATTTTTTGTACTAAATTTTCTTTCACAAACTGTAAAAAATTTCGTATTGCACACGATGCTGTACTCTCACTGACACCAAATCTGTCTGCTATGGCTGCGTACTTGTCTAAACTGGCCAAATACCAAAGAAGCATTAAAAGTCTATCTTCTAAAGATATCTGAACACGACCACCTGTGGAATGACGACAAAGTATTCCAGAAATGTTTTCTGTGCAACAAACTTCAGTAATGTGGTATTGAATCTTTTGAACACTTACTCGGCTTACTCTGAAGAAAGTTTTAATTTCATCTATTGTGAATGCAGACACTACATTCTCAGTATAGTTTATTTGTCTGTGGCGATCACCTGGTCCTTTCTTTCTGAAAATATAAACAATTCTTCCATTAATCGGAATAAACAGACTTTGGGTTAAAGAATAATTTGGGAAATCTTTCATCTTTAACCACTCACTAGAAGTATCTGATCAACTAGACTATTTTTCGTTTCTACACATTTAATTTTACTGATAATTTCAGATCTTGAACCTTTTAAACAAGATCACGGCTACTGCTGAGTCACTTTCATTCCACTCTCGGCACTCTCATCTTCGTCGGTGCTTTCCAGTAACGAAGAAACAAGCAAAGTAAGTCTTTTTCTTTTGTTGTTGTCCATTTTGCCATAAACCGGAAGATGTTTATCATCCGTAAAGCACATTTCCATTTGATTGGGACATTTTCGTTGAGCACAATTCACTCTGTGCGCATTGTGGGCGGAGCCTCGAAGTGCTTCACGGAGACATCCCAATCGAATACGACCATTAACATGCTTTGCCTGAAAAATACACTGAATTTGTGTGGCGAATTTCCGTTGACGGGCATTCTTTTGTGGTTCAGACCAAAGGGATCTCAGATGTGTTTTCTTTAGGGATTCTTATTTCACTCTATTTTATCGCCACATCAGCGTTGTTTGTGCCGTGTGCCGTGTGGATGCCGTAAAAAATCGCCCAATACATTCAATCAGGGATGTTATATTTCCGATCATTAAAGATCGTTCAGCACGACCTAATTGTTGTGCTTGTGTTATTTTAGTTCTTTCTATTCGGCATATTTCTTGTTGGGTGGTTCCAGTATTCCTAACTTGAATACTGTTGAATCACCCTAAGGATATGTGGCCTGCTTTTTAATTTTGTCTTTTGACGTCATATCTGTGATATGCAGGCTTTATAACCTCAGATCCCCTTTCAAAATACCATTTTATTTAGTTCCGCCCATTGTTTTCTCGTTTAGGGCCAAAACATTCTTTTACTTGGGGACCATACGCCGCCTTTCATGGAATAGCACGCCTGTGTCACATGAGCAACACCCATACGACCCAGCAACAAGAACCAGTGGCTAGGAGCCCAGGCGGACACAGCAAAAACAGGACAGGGCACGGACAGGCCAATCACTAAAATGATAAATGATTTGAAACTGATAAGGAATTCAAAGAAAACAAATAAATGATTGAATAATACGTAATAAGTTGTAACTGATAAGGAAAACATATAAATGATTGTATAATAGGCACACTAAGGGTACAGGGGGACAGGAGAACGGGGGAAGGGGGCAGTAAATCAAAGAAATAAAAACTAGGGGCAAAGGAATAGATACTTACCATAGATGAGAAAACAACAAGGGACACAAGCAAAAGTGTCACCAAAACAGTAGGAAACAACATAGACATACATCTGAGGAACACAGAGGGGCGCCGCCTTGGAACGGTCAGCAGCATAATTATGACTGCTGGGTCTAAGATCTTCTTTTCGAGTTAAACCACAATACGCCAATTTTCATTGAATGACATTACTTGGCCACATTGAAGGTTCAATGATAACCGCTGTACAAACACATCTGCGGATGTTTCTTTATCATATTCGTATTCTGCTTAAGCCGGTGCTAGGGGGCATGGTTGATAACTTGCATTTTCTAGAAAATGTTCTGAACCGTCCATGAACTGTCTCAATCAAACCGAGCCAGCAAATTTTCAATTTTGCCGTGTTGGGCATTCTTTAGGGATTCTTTTTTTCTAAAGACATCTTGTTTCATGCATGGCTACTTCGTTCATTGAACGTCGCCTTTCTTTGTTAATCTCGTTTATCATATTTTCCTTGATGATCTGGTTAATCATATTTGGTTACTTATCATGACAAACTGTTAAATTTATTCAATGTGAATAACGAGTAATATACTAATACATTGCACCAATACGTTGAAAGATTGATTGATTAAAAGTAATACAAAATGTATTTCATTGAATGTTTTTATTGAACGCCGCCTTTCCTTGTTGATCTTGTTTATCATATTTTACCTTAAAAATCAAACAATTTCAATTCAATTCATTTAATCTGTGTAACACATTGTCGGGAACATTGCTAATACTATAGCAAAATCATTCAAGTATCTTACTAGGACTAAATTGTATAGGGGGGTATTTCTACATACGATACTAAAATAGAGAAAAACAGAAACCCTAAAGAAAGTCAACCAAAATATGATAAACAAGATCAACAAGGAAAGGCGGCGTTCAATAAACCAATGAACCAATCATGATTGATAGCAAAAAGATTTCTCATTGTAGAAAACAATTTCCTGAAGATAATTATCTTACCACAATAACATTCGTTTACAAAATGGTTATTTCCGACTCAGACGCCATTCGTCAGTTGTGATGATGCTTACAGACTAAGAAATATTGAAACTGGATGCTGATTCAGTAAAATATGAGAAACAATATCAACAAAGAAGGTCGGCGTTCAATGAACGCAAACCCCACACGACCAAGTAACAAAATACCATCGACTAGGAGCCCCAATTTTTGAGTCTATTTTGTTTGAAGGCATTCGGTTTTATGGTGGCTTGAGTGGAATTTGCCGATTAACTTTCGTCTGCAGTTTTTACTGTAGGTGTTATTGGTTTATTGATAGGACGAGGATTTTGAAGCAAAATAGTAGATTGATCTCCCATTAAAATCAATTAACAAAGCTCTTTAATCATCATCAATGCCAAGTACATGTAGCTTTTGTCTCATATTCGAGTAACAGTCTTCTATCCATTGATAAATAATGTTTCTCCATATTAACATTCAAATTCATTTATGATTTTAAATGTACCATTATTTTTGTTAACGCGTATTACAAAAAAATCCCGAATTTAAGCTTTTTGAAATTCATCTTCCTGTGTGTGTTCTACTTTCAGTATTTATCTTGGACTTGAAATATAAAACTACTGTTAGTCCCAGGTATTTATAGAAACCATTTTTTTTAATTTGACATGAAGAAAAATGCATGTTATATTACTATATTAGTCCCTTTTAATTGTTACTATTTTTATATACTGTTTGTATTTTTGTTACAATTAAAATATAAAAAACAGAACTGTTTTGAATGTTCCAAAGAAAATTAATTTAATATTCTTATCTCTAGTACACGATAAGTATAATTATGCAATATAAATGATTTACAAAACGTCCGGAATAATGTACAATAGCACTTAATCTCAAAAGAAAATGACCTGTGCGCAGGAATGATTTGGTAAGGTATATGTTATGAGCGCATTTTTTGCGCGGAGCCTCTCAATTGCTGCATTGCATTGCAGCAACATTTGTACTTGTCCATTGCGGTGTAACTAGACTCATGGTAAAATCAAATCTGTATATTAATGAGGGAGGGACTGTTATACGAAGTTATTAAACGGGAATATGACCCTACTTTTTAGCTCACCTGTCACAAAGTGACAGGGTGAGCTTTTGTGATCGCTTTTCGTCCGGCGTCCGTCCGTCCGTCCGTCGTCCATCCGTAAACTTTTACTTTAAATGACATCTCCTCATAAACAACTAAGCCAATTTCATCCAAACTTCACAGGAATGTTCCTTTGGTTGTCACCTTTAAAAATTGTTCAAAGAATTTAATTCCATGCAGAACTCTGGTTGCCATGTCAACCGAAAGAATAAACTTTAAATATCTTCTTTTAAAAAAACCCAAAGAGCTAGAGCTTAGATATTTGGCATGAAACATCTTCTAGTGAGTGTCTACCAAGTTTGTTCAAATAAAAGCCCTTGGGTCAAAATTCGCCCCGCCCCAGGGGGTCATTGATTTTCCCTATATGCATATAGTAAAAACTTAAAAAATCTTCTTTTAAAGAACCCAAAGAGCTAGAGCTAAGATATTTAGCATGAAACATCTTCTAATAAGTGTCTACCAAGTTTGTTCAAAAAAAGCCCTGGGGTCAAAACTGGCCCCGCCCCGAAGGTCATTGATTTTCACTATATGCATATAGTAAAAACTTAAAAAATCTTTTAAAAAACCCAAATGAGCTAGAGCTTAGATGTTTAGCATGAAACATCTTCTTATGGGTGTTTACCAAGTTTGTTCAAATAAAAGCCCTTGGGTTAAAATTGGCCCTGCCGGGGGGGGGGTTCATTATTTTTCATTATATGTGTGTAGTAAAAACTTAACATCATAAAACATCTTCCAATGGGTGTCTCCCAGGTTTATTCAAATAAAATCCCTGGGGTTTAAACTGGGCCTATATACAGGTGAGCGACCTCAGGGCCATCATGGCCCTCTTGTTTAAGACATACAATACCGCATGCTAAGTGTTCAACCCATTTACAGTGACTGAATTGCCTTAATGTTCGTTTTCTGTCTTGCTTCGTCGGGCCCCTGTAGGTGATCTTGTTGCTCTGTTTTCCTTTAAGATATTGAGTACTTTTTTATGGTCATTGGGTTTTCTTTTGTATGTTTCTACATAATCATTTTGATGTTTACTTATTTAACCTTTTGTAACCTTAACAACTGTTAGAATTTCACTTGGCGGGGATTCACTTTATTTACAATGTCCCGCTTTAAAGGAACATGGTGGGGCTAAGAGTGTGGTTTGGTGCACCATTTACCGGTTTAAACTCCCAAGCAGTATTCATGCTGCTGACCGTTCCAAGGCGGCGCCCCTCTGTGTTCTTCAGATGTATGTCTTATGTTGTTTCATACTGTACTTTTGTGTCCCTTGTTGTTTTTTCGTCTACGGTATCTTCCCCTTTGCCCCTTGTTTTTATTTCCTTTTTTTACCTCCCCCCCCCACCCTCCCGGTCTCCTGTCCCCTTCCCCCGTGCCCTTGACTTTATGGGCATATTCTATCATTTATTTGTTTTCTTTGAGTTTCTTATCAGTTACTAATTATTTCTTCTTATGTATGATTTAAGTTATTAATCTGCCCATGATTTGCCGTATGCCCTGTCCTGTTTTTGGGGTCCTTCTGAGCTACTTGTCAATTGGCTCTTGTTGCTGGATCGTGCGGGGGTTGCCTTCAATGAACGCTGCCTTTCCTTGTTGATCTTGTTTATCATATTTCATATCTTGTGATTACCTGTCAGAAGTTCTTGTGATAACTGTCATGGAGTTCGTCGGAAAATTGTGTATATACTTCAGAAACACTTGCCAAAAATGGTCATTTTCATCTTTAAAAAAAGAGTTTTAGGTGCTAAATACTGCACAGTAAAATACCTCAGGTGCCCCTCCGTTTATTATTTTGGGTATAAATGGGTACCAGAGTAGAACCACCGACAAAATATTTAGAGGCTACGATATTTAGCGGCAATAGCGCGACAATCAGCGGAAAGTGCGACATTTAGCATCGTTGCGACTTAAACAGCGCCACAATGCATTTCTTATGCAATAAAATATTGTTTGGATTTTAAAAAAAATAATACTTCCAAAATGTTTGTATGAAATAAAAATGGCAGTAAATTCCCTTTAAGCAAATGGCGCATGCACAAAGTCATTGCTAAACGAAAAAAAC